GGAGGACAGTGAGGGAGAGGGACATGGTACGAGATTAAGACCCAGTCACAGAAGCCGTTCCCTGCAGCCACCTGCCTGGTTGAGATGGAAACGCTCATTCCAGCTCCAGCCCCCAGACAGGCTAAGAATATCCCAGAAAAGCAACAGCCACCACCCCCGCCCTTCTTGATCTGCTCCTACATCTGGAGTGCTATCCCGGGAGATAGCAGGGGCAGGGAGGATCCAAGAGTGGGGGTGACATTTTGGGTGGGGAGCAAAGAGGCAGGGCAAAAAGGGGCTTGATGGAGGCAGAGGGTGAGCTGAGAAATAAGGTTACTGGAGAGTAAGGACGGATTGGACAGAGAGAACTGTTTTCAGGAGGCAACAGAGGGAAGTGAAGGCAGAGCCAGAGAGTTGGGAAGGAAGGATGCAGGGATGGCAGTGAGGGAAGGCTGGCATCAGTAACCAAGAAGGGGACCCAAGACTGTTAAGGTAGGAAGCAGAGCTTAAGGTAGAGAAAAGGCTCCCCCAGCTCACCTTGTTCTCCCCTGACCCCTCGCCCTGGGCCCTCCAGCATCTAAGCATCTGCTCCCTGCCCCAGGACACTCCTTCCTCAACTGTGCTCCAACTCTATTCCCTTGTAAAAAAACAAAAAAAAAAAAAAAACACCTCTTTTGCGGTTCCTCAATCAAGTCCTCCTAGCAAAGGTCCTGCTGGAACAGAAGAACCGTGAGAAAGTGGGGACTCCCTCCTGGAAGCTAGCACCTCCACTGTCAGTTTCCTCTCCTCCCAGCTCCCAGCTCACCTCCTTCCCCACTCTGTTGCCAGTGAAGAGGTTCTGCTTTCTCCACTGGCACGGTAGGGACTTGCCCCTGCCCAGCCCAGCTGCTTTGGGATTGGTCGTCAGGAGAGACAGGGAGCCCTAAGCTGGTGCTCACCTTCCCTCTCTGCACACCTCAAAGGCTGGGACCCTGGCATGGAAATATTTTATTAGAGAAGGAGAGAGAAGTTGGGGAGCACAGGATCCTGATATTCAGGTTATGGTTATTTGAAGAACCCAGATTGTCATCAGCCTCTTTCTAGGTACCCCTTGGGGGTACAATGACCTTGGGTTTCTGGGTCTCTGACCTTGGTGTTTAGAGGGGAGACCCTGGACCTCAGTCATCTTGGCATCCTGCCCTCTGCCTCACTACCTTTCGGGGGGCCCCTAAAGTTCGGTAGGACCTGGGGAGAGTTATGTTGCTGAGTCTGAGCACCCCTCCCCGTGGTCTCCTGGGCTGAATTGTGCATGTGCAGGCCTCAGGCAGATGCTGCACACAGACTGAGCCATCAGGCAGAAACAGACTGGGGGAGCCAGGCAGGTTGGAGCTAGAGAATGAAAGAGATTCACAGGACATATTTTATTTAGAATCATAGAACTGGGAAGAGTCTTTGGGAATCATTTTAAGTCCAAGCCCCAATATGTTATCTTGTTCCTTTGTCTGATAATAAGTTTTAAAATATGTAGAAGCCCTGCCTTTTAACAGGAAGA